TTGGCTCAATTTAATCCGTTCTTTCCCTTCCAAAAAAAAAAATAATAATCCGTTCTTTTATTAATTTGTTTTAAATTTCTAGCAGTGTTCGGTTGTAGCTCCAAGTCAACCATAGGTTGAGATCCAGATCCAACAGCTGCCCGTCATAACTGTTAATAGTCGCAGGTAATAGTCTATTTCTGCTCGCATTAAAATATGATGCCAGCTGCTGTACGTAAAGCATCTCATGTCCATGAGTTTATTGAAAAACATATTCCTGGCCAACATGAAAGCACGTGCACCGTCCAACCCCACCTTTGCCCATCTTTCTTCCCATATGAAAATTAAAGCTCATTAATACTTTGTGTGATATAATAATATTTGTGGAGTTGAAATGCAGCTCAAAATGATTTGAATTCTCGCAATATTGAATTTAACTGTGTCCTTAATGGAACTCTTAGTGGGTCACCATTAAACGTGGGGAGAAGGTTTTTAATTTGTGCTTAAAATGTATAACATATTGATTAGAAATAAAATAAAGAATCATCATTCTTAATGGAACATTACTTGGTGCCATTAACTAGGCTCTAAACCACTAAGAAAAAGTCTGTTAGATATGACTCATATACTATAAATGGGATAGATGTTAGAGCGGAGTGAAGCCCACGAGCGAAGTGGAGCGGAAGAATCTGCCCAATCGGGGGAGTTTCATTATGTGGGTTGGGGGGTGCGGGGACAACACCCCACGGTTTGGTACAGGGGTAATTTAAGTAATTTCATATTGTAATATAGGGTTATGTATGTCCAGTTTGTAACCCTTGGGAAGATTCTGAATCTTGTATTTTGTACTATTTTCTGAATATTGAAAGGAAGTTGCTACTGCTCTCGAGGACGTAGGCATCTTTGTTTTACCTCATAAATCTCTGTGTTTTCTTCTGGATTTGTGTCGATTACTATTTTTCTTCGCTCTAATTTCTCTACAAAGTCCTTGTGCTATAATGTGTAACAAATTGGTTGGAAACGAAGTAGAGTCATAATATGTTGAGTTTAAGGGCTCACATTGATCGAAAAAAAAGTTCTGAACTTCTAATCGAAAATTTTGTAGTGATGAGCTTACTGCTAGCTGTTCGCTTAGACTGGGAAATTTGATAAAACAAACTTAATGTTTTAAGTATCTCTATCAGAAGTATAAAATGAACAACTACTATCTCTAAGGAGGAATGAATTTTAGAGCATTCTCCATCTTAGCACAACATTGGCCATCATCGGCCCCTTTATCACAACCATCAAGTGCAAGTCATTGACTAACATTAAATTTGAAATCCCCAATTTCTACTATATACTAGCATAGACCTCATTGTTGCCTAACGTTTTTCGCTTATTAACATTGATGCACATCAACACTATCGCACATAGCACTACAGTAGAACCTCGTATTAGCATCTCATATTTGCGCCTAACATTTTCTGACGAAAAACTTAGTGTTTGATTTGTGACCGTTAAGCGACGAATAATAATTTTTAATATTTGCATCTGATTTTGAATCCACTGTGCATCCAAAAATTTGATGGACAAATTATTCTAAAAATGGTGAAATCTATGTTGGCATTCTGACGGATTTTTGCATCAAATTAGCATCCAAAAAAATGAAGCAAACATGCACTAATCATCGTTGAACTAATTTTCATTTCTCCTCTCCCTTATCCCGTGCGTGCCTCTTTGGTCACCCCTTTTGCATGAAACCCTCCTGAGCTTCCCCTCTCCCCTTTCCCTCTCCGCATCCCTTGTCCTTTTCAATGTCGCTCAAAATCATCTCCTTCCCGAATGAAGCTTCGAGATACAGTCACCATTAAAACTAGCTGCGAAAGTAACGACATCCGGCGCTTCGAGCTTGCAGAGACGACCGAAATCCCTCTAATCAGAAAGCATAGAAGAATGTGAGTCTATTTGCACCACTACTTTCATCTATTTGTGGTATGCCTGAAAATATTGAAGTTTAGGTGTTAGGTTTGTATATACATAAGATTGAGTGATATTATCAATTGAACGTTGGTTTCTATTATGCAGGAGAAGTTCGAGCAGCTCCAGAAGAGGAACTTGGCCTCTCAGACCCAGACTTCTGCCAGCAGCAGTGGTAGTTAATCTACCACTGTGCACTCCGAGTATGAGCTTTGGGCCCAGGTGGCAGAGAGGAAGAAGGGGAGGGTTTATGCCTTGGAGCGAAGGGCACAACCTTTGAGGCCAAGCTCTCACGTGGTCCCGTTCTTAGTTCCCCAAGCTCCTCACTGCAAGACCAGGAGGCTCTTGTCAAGTAGATTCTTCAATGAGCAAAGAGATTCACCAGTTGCACGAGCAGATGCAAGAAGGCCAACATAGACTTAAGGACTTTATAGCGAGCATGGCGGATACCTTAGCAGTTAGTCGTTGTAAGCAGTCAATGACATTTGTGCATGAGGAGGATGGACATGAGTAGTTTTTTTTTTATGTCTTTTTTTATTTGTAAGTGTTATGTTTAACATTTGTTGTGAGATTTTTTGGATTAATTTTACTATTCTTATTTGAGATGATTTGTGATTATTTTTCTTTTTATTAATGATATTGTTTAGAGATTTAATCTGTGATATAGAAATGCTTAATGTGGAATGTATTGTTGTGCAGGTTGTGGAAATGTAAATAATATTCTAAATTTTTTTCTATGTTACATGTTTTTGTCGAATTTGCGTCTGTTTTCGGACGCAAAATCCGACACTACATCGACAATTAGATTTCGTCGTTGTACAATATTATTTGACCCAAATTAGACAGTAATCTGACAGTAATATTCATCGTCTGATATTTTCATATATGCATTTCATATAAACAAAGTCGACGCAATGACAGTGCAAAAACCGAAGCAAATTAGTCGGAAATAACATTACTGGCCCCCAAATTAACGTCGGAAAAAATTAGACGTAAATCAGACGCAAATCCGATGATAACCCTTAAATATCGTCGAATTTGCGTCTGATTTATGTCTGATATGTCCGACGCAAATTTGCTTAATTTCTGTAGTGTAGCCAGCCATCAACCAACAATCTCAAACACCTAATTTTGGTCATCAACCAATGTAGATGGTTGGAGTCACCACAGCTTAATCGTTGTTCATTGAAATGCATTGATACACACATCATGCATTGTCTGATTTTGGATATTAATTGATTTTGACACCTATAATTAACGTTACCTTGCACCATCATTAAGCAACATTAATGCAAGCCAGTGTTCACATTCACCACTTAACATCACTCGAACGATTGTGCTTTAAGTTGCCTTATTTCCCTTCATATCTAAAGAAGCTAATTACCATCATAAATCCCTAGACAACCGACGTTCATCATTGGTTGTCATCTATCAACTATTAAACACTAATTTCCAACACCCTAAATTCATCTTTTAGAACATGTAGCCGATCATTCATCATCAATTTATGACAATTTGGACACCTAAAGACTCCTCAAAGTATCATCATAAGAGACATCTTTTATGATTAATATATTTTACATTATATTAGCATTATCTAATTATTAAGAAAGGCAAAATTTATGATTTTCAATGCATGTTCATACGATTGTTTCATATAAATTAGTTCATCTAAATATGTCACCTATGTTTATTTTTGTGTGTAATATATTATAATGCAATTCTAAGGTTGTAATCGAGTCAAGTATGCCATAGTTTTCACTTTCCTTGGTCAAATCATGAGTTGGCATGATCATTTCGAGCTCGAGACGAGCTTCAAAAATAAATTTAGACTTGAATTGTTTAAAATTTTTAATGTTTACATTTGATTTGTACTTGGCTTGTTTGTATTAATTAAAAAGCTAAAAATTCAAATGAATAATTAATTTTTCATATAAAATTACAAAACAAGTTAAAAATTTAAAAGAGTGATTGATTTTTTATATAAAATTATCAATAAATAATTTTAAGTATCTAAATATATAAGCAATTGAATAGATTTCAATTAACATATCTAACTAGCCAATATCTGGTACATAAAATAATTTATAACTTATAGGTTTTTTTTTAAATCAACAAACATAAATAATTACTAACAAATTAGTTCATTAAAAAAATAAAAATCCTTTAAATTTATGTATACAAAGATATCAAATTATAATATATTATTAAAAAAATTATAATTAATCAAAGTTTGTTTAAATAATACATCTTAAAACATATAATAAGTTACTTCCTCAAGAACAAACTAATTGATTCATAAATATTAACAAGCGAGTTGGACTATATTCAAATTTACTTCATTTAAGCTCTAAGTTCTTAAAAAAATATTCAAACTTTTTTATTTAGTTATTTGAATAAACACTAGTGTATTAATGAAGTTGATCTCAACTTGTTCATCAAGTATATTAGTTATGCAATACTATAACAATAAACCCTAATATTTCAGCTCACCAACAACTAAATTTCCTAGAAGGCCTAACAAAGCCAAGAGATGAGAGTTTCAACATGGTTCTTTCCTTGTTGGCATAGTTATCCAACAACGTGTTTTTTCTTACTTATGCCATTACAACTCCCCTTGAACATCTGATTTCTGTATTTTTCTCTGCTTTTTCCATCAATTCTAAGCAGTTTGTTCCCTCTTTCTTCGCGACACGCTATCTGACGGCTGCGATTTCGCCCATGTGAACTTCAGACCTAAACAATTTAAAAATAAATAATAATTATTATTATAATAATTTCTAGGTATTTACATATCTAACACCTAGCTTTTAATTTTTACCTATCAGCCACATTATTTATGAATGGAAAGTTCTATTTCACTTTTCCAAACTTAATATTAAGATAATTTATGAAGAAATTGGATGGTATAAATATAAATAAGAACTTTAGGAGAGTTGCATATGTAAATACAGAGGAATTGAACGGCATGCATGTAAATGCCCTAAAAATAAATTAAAAAAAAAAAAAAAACTCTACCTTTACTCACCTTAATCACGCCTCTCTCTGCTATAAATTTCGCAACTTGGCTGCCTCTCAGCACACCACCAGCTTCTAAAGAACAAGATGAGGGCAAATCTCATCCTTCTCTGCTTCGTCTCCGCTCTTCTGCTGAGCTATGCTCCGACCGGCATGTCTCAAACTTGCAACCCAACTCAGCTAAGCTCTTGTTTAGGTCCTATCACAAACGGCTCTCCGCCGGACGACAGCTGCTGCTCCAGTCTCAAGGGCCAGCAGCCTTGCCTGTGCCAGTACCTGAGTAACCCAGCTCTTAGTGCATATATTAACTCTGCAAATGCCCGCAAAGTAGCCAAATACTGCAAAGTGCCTATTCCAAGCTGCTGATCACTCTTCCATGTGAGTTTGGATCCAAATTAATATCAGGCTAATTTGGAGTTTCAGTGCTATGAATCGAACTCGTCTGCTATGTAGGATTACTGTAATAAAGTGCATGCTATGCCATGCGCAGCACATATTATGGTTCTGAGAGTCGTTGTGTTTTAGTAAAACTCTATTATTATTATTATGTCAGTTTGAATGTTTATGTATTTTTTTAGTGGAGAAAATATTATGTTTGTCGTCTGCTTAAAAGTATTGCGTGCATAAATTTAGCTGAGAATTAAATATAAATTGATGATATTGAGATGATGTTAACACTCAAATATTATCTTAATATCATCTCAATATTATTGACATGTGCATACGAATACCACGCAGAATAAAGTAGAACGACCGTACGGTTTCTGCGTGTAACTATTATATAGTATGCGCACGTAATAATTGAAGGAGGGAGAGAAATGATTGATATTAAGCGTTTTCATTGGTGCGCTTGCAATTTTGTACTTTGCCTTATTAATCCTTCTCAAACATCAAAGTTCAATAAAATTCCGACCCATACTTTTTTTTTTTAATCAAATTCGAAGCGTAAATGAATTTGCAATATTATAGTAATTTTAGTATAAGGAAATTAGCATAAATGAGCTGGTTTATGTTATAGGAGAAATTATTTTTGGCTCAATATTTTAGTAAGTAATTTTAGTATAAGGAAAAGGATTTTGTAGTTGTAATAAATTTGCATTGATTTGTAAGGAATTTTTTGATTCGCGAGATGATAAGGTTTTTTATTATACGGTAGCAAATTATCTTATAAAATAAAATTTAAAAATTAACAATTACGGGCTATTTGAAATCACTTCTATTTTATTTTTTTTATTTTTATTTTTCTTTTTTTTTGTTTATATTTTGATATGAAATAAAATATATTTGGTATATTTGATTAAGAAATGGCTATTTTTGTATTCAGATCATCAAAAATTTAATTTTGAGTGTTTTTTATTTTTAGAAAAAAATAATAGCGTGTTAAAAATACATTAAAAAATAACTTCTTAAAAATAAAGAAAAAAAATAAAAAAAAAGTCAAAAAGTAAAATTGAACTCAAACAAACCCTTAACATCTTAGAAGTAAGTTCTTTATTTTCTTAGTCCCAAGTTTAGTTTAGCAAAAGATAACCTCGGTTCAACAGTATTTTTTTCATGGTAACAGCTGGCTCGTATAAATATAGAGGTCAGAAAAATAAAACTTAACCCTCATCTGTAGGGCTGTCAAAAAAGCTCGTTGTTCGCAAATAGTTCATGTTCGGTTTGTCAATGAGTTCGTGTTCGATTCGTTCGATAAGTAAACGAGACAAACGTGAACAAATTTTTTTCGTTCGGTTAGTTAAACGAACCAAACACGAACAATGATGCGTTCGTTCGTGTTCGAATCGTTATTGTTTGAAATATAAAATAATATAAAATAATTATATATAAAAAATTTATTATATTTTAAAACATTAAATTTTATAAATTATAATATATAATAAAATAATAATAATAATATATTAATATACTATAGTAGTAATATACTAATATAGATATTGTATATTTATATAATATAAGTTATATAATTAATATATAATATTATTTTTATATATTAATATTAGGGATGTCAAACTGGCTCGTCGTTCGCGAACAGCTCGTGTTCGGTTCTTGTTCGGCTCGTTCGTTAAGAAACGAACACGAGCTTATTTCAAACAAACTAAAATTTAAACGAACCGAACACGAACACAAGCTTTGTTCGTTCGTGTTCGGTTCGTTTACACCCCTACTCATCTGAGCTCAACAAATACATTTCCTAAATAATGTACTAAATTAAAACGCACTTTCCTGATGGACCAAAATGTCGACATGAGGACAAAAAGATCCTTCAGGTCTTACTGTAATGCGACAACAATGATGAAATTAAAAAATTCACATAAAAATAATTAAACACAAAAGATTTACGTGATTTGGCGTGATGTTAATTCGCCTGCATTTACGGGGAGAAAGAAAAATGACTTGTGGTTATAACTCACACTTCCAATCATATATACATCTCTCATAAGCCATATGTTAAGTGGCTGAGTGGAATTGCACTTAGAGACAAAATTTGAAATGAATATATATGTGATAGGGTTGGTATAGCTCCAATGGTGGAAAAAATTAAAGTGAGTCATCTTAGATGGTTAGGACACATTAAATGTTGACCATCTGATGATCCAGTTAAGAGAGTAGATGTTTTAGATTTGACTTATGTTAAGAAAGATAGAAGTAGACTTGGAAAGACTTGGGCATATTGTATAAAAAATATTCTTAATCTATGAGAATTAAATAAAAATTATGACACTCAATAGAATGCAATAGAGAAAAATGATTCGTGTAGCTGACCCCACTTAGAAGGATAATGGCTTGTTGTTATTATTGTTGTTGTTGTTGTAACTCTAGTGACAAATTTGTAACAATGGGTGAACAAATCATTAAAAATTGTGAACGTTTTAGATATCTCGAGTCTCTTATTCAAAGTGATTGTGATATAGATGGCGATGTTATTAGTAGAATTTAAGTTGGTTGGTTGAAGTGGAGGAATGCATCTAGCGAGACCTGCAATGCTCTATGGCACAAGATTTTGGCCTTTAAAAGAGAACCATAAAACAAAGTTAAGTGTTGTTGAGATGAGAATGCATAGATGGATGAGTGACTTGACAAATATGGATAAGACATTTACGCTTCAACATGACAGAATAATTCATGATTTGACTATCACTATATATTTTTAGACGTCGAACATCCCTTCAGAAGGAACAAGAGTGCATTCAGAAGGAACAAATTTGAGAAATCATCGTCAATCACAAGAATATTTGGGGAAGATATACAGTGGATTGTTAGTGGCATTCTAAAGATTATTGTATGCTCTGATCTTTCTTCACACCATCTACCCAGATTTGGTTTCACTCATAATTGGACAAAGAAGCCAATTTTTCGGGATCTACCTTATTGGAAGGATAACATGATTTGACACAATCTTGGTGTCATGTACATTAAAAAAAATTTGATAACATCTTCAATATTGTGATGGATGTTAACAGACAAACTAAAGACAACATGAATGCCAGACTTGATTTAACAGAGATAAGCAAGAGGCGGGAATTGGAGATCAAAGAAACAGTTGATGGAAAGCTCATTAAGCCCAAGGCAAAATATTCCCTTACTTTGTCCCAACGAAGAACAATTTGTGAGTGGCTTCAATCACTAAAATTCTCGAGTGGGCATGGGCATGCTTTGAATTTGAGTCGTTGTGTTAATGTGGGTGCAGAGAAAATATTTGATAAGAAAATCATGAATACTATATTTTTCTGAAAAAAATGATGCCAACTGCATTTAGCTATTTGTCGAGCGAAATCCTCAATCCATTGATTAAAATCGGTGTGTTCTTCAGGGAATTATGTATAGCTTGTTTTAAGCTTGACGTCATACGCCAACTAGAAGCAAACATTCATGCAACACTTTGCAAGCTCGAGAGAATATTTTTGCCTAGTTTTTTATCTTGATAGAGAATTTGTCCTTACATTCACCCCATGAAGCCTTAATTGGAGGTCCAGTACAGTACTGTTGGATGTATTTTTTTGAGAGGTAATTACTTTGAGACTAGATAGTTAATCACTCATTTATAAAGAATATTGCTAATTTATGCTAATAAACATTTATGTTTTAAATTTTTAAATAAACTAAAGAGAACTATGAAGAATAAGGCCCAAAGGATCGAAATGTGAAGCATATTTACTGCAGGAGACAACGACAATGTGCTCATACTATTTCAAGGAAGAAGAATCCATGAAGAAACAATGGGTTTGGTGTCATCATACCCTCTCTGTATTTCAGCAATTAGGTGTAGCATCGAGGATGTGCACATCACATTACTTTAATGATCAGGAGCTTCGAGCAGCGAGACTTTATGTTCTTCTCAAATGCAATGAAGTACAACCTTTTATTGAGTAAACAAATTTTTATTATAATTTTTCACTCATTTATCTGGAAAATGTCTTGATTAGCCATTTAAATGATATTTCAATGTGTGAATAGTTTATTAGTGGATTCGTTAAATTTAGTTGAATAAGATGACACAGATAATAAAATCAAGAATAACTTCCCCAATTAATTTACAACTGTTGACCTTATTTTTGGTGATGTCTAGTTTTCTCGTACAGCTTAGGATCCAGCCATAGAGCTTTACCTATTGACTATCCTAGAAGACTACTGATGAGACCTACCTCACTTAAAAATTCTTACCACCTCTTGACTCTTTTGTGGAGTCTCACATGGATGGTCTCAAACCCTCAACGTTTTGTTGAGTTGGTTTAGACCTACATGGTGGAGCCCCAAAAGTGAGTTCCCATAGGATCACAAGGCCTTAGGGAAGCCCTCTATAGCTTACACATTCACCTCACACCACATACACATTCAACACACACCACTAACATTATAATTCATCTTACACCCCTATACACTACAATTCACATACACTATAATTCACATCACCCCATATCTTCCCACTACATCACCACCTAAAGCCAACCCTAAATCCACCCAAAATCCAAAATTTCCCAAAATTCCCAACCTATAAATAAAAAACCTTGCGGGGTATTTGAGCTTTATACAATCAAAATTATATAGTCAAACTTCTTGGAGCTCCTCCGTTGAGAATCCTCTTTATTTTCTCTTGTCCATCTCTTTCATCTTTCCTTGTGGTGTGATTTTAGTCCAATTCATGATATACAAAACAAATTCCAACGCCCATCGATATAAATTGTGAAATGATTAATCCAAACTATTTTATGATTGCTTGACATTTGGCTCAATTTAATCCGTTCTTTTCCATTAAAAAAATTTCAGTTCTAGCTCTAAGTCAAACTTAGGTTGAGATCCAGATCCAACAGCAGCCCGTCATAACTGCTACTACTCGCAAGTAATAGTCTATTTCTGCTCGCATTAAAATATGTTGAAAGATCTCGAAACTAATGATTATATTCCATATTTGTTATAACTCTATATCTAAAAGGTTATAAATTATATGAGAGATCTTGAAAATTTCTTTTTATTTTTCTCCTTAATTAGAGAGATTAGCAGCCTCTTATATTTTGTTATTATTCATTTCATTTTCTACTGTATTCTGTTTTTATTGTTTTCCTTACCAGTAAATCATGTAA